CCGGCCGCCTGCCCCGCGCCCCGCAGCGCTCTGCGCCTCTCCGCCCGCGAGGTTGGGGCTGAGACCGCGCCCGCAGCTGCGTTTCCGGAGCCCGCGGAGGGCCGATAAGGATGCGTTTGGCCGTCGGGCGCCGCGCGTCTTTAGGGGACGTGGAGTTTCCCACGTAGCGGGCCCTGGCGAGGAAGGGAGGGCGCGGGTGCGCGAGCGCGGGGGATGCGGACCCGCGCGCGCGTCTTACGCGTGTGTGCCTATCCCCAGTCCCAGACGTTAGCAACTACCCAATTTTGGTTGCTGAATTAACGTTGAAAAGACCATAAAAATTAGCGAATAATTATGTAACACTCTTCGTTCTAAGAGTTTTCCATGTATCCATTCCAATTTTCAAGATAGCATCTATGAGGAAAACTTGCAATATTATTACCCTATATTACAGATGAGGAAACTGAGCCACAGACTATATCTCCCAAAGTTTGTCTTTCTCAAAGGTACTATTTATGGTGCCCCCAAAATTGGGGCTGAGCCGATTGGCCCAGAATCATTGCCTTTTCTAGGGGTCAGGATGCTCTCTTTCCCACACTGGGCGAATCACAAGTGTCTTGTGTCTTTAGGACCTCAGCACTGGCATAAGGACTTCCCCATTGCCAACGGAGAGCGTCAGTCTCCTGTGGACATTAGCACCAGTGCAGTCCAGTATGATTCTGCCCTGAAGCCTCTGAGCCTGTCCTATGACCACCCGACTTCGCTAAGGATTGTCAACAATGGTCACTCTTTCAATGTGGAGTTTGATGACTCCCAGAACAAAGCAGGTCAGTGTTTAAAAAATAACTTGCGCCTTTTAGACGGTAGCTGCTTTCCAGCTTAATGGAAGAAATCTAGAGCAGTCTTTGTTTTTGTTTTTCGCTTTTCTGTCTTTTTGAGACAGGGTCTCGCTATGCAGTTCAAGCTGACCTTGAGCTCACTTTGTAGCCCAGGCTGGCCTCGAACTCGCAGCGATCCTCCTGCCTCAGCCTCCCGAGTGCTGGGATTACAGGCTTGTGCCACCACGCCCGGTTTAGAGCAGTCTTTGGAAACTCCTTAGTACTACAGTGTGTCTCAGAAAAGTCATGCTGATTGTCTTCACTAGATCGCAGACCCAGTGAAGTAGGTGCCCTGGGGCTTTTCTTCCCTTGTAAGATGCCTGGCTTTTATGAAGGGCACTGTGCAAAGTCACAAGGTCCCGGGACAATACAGATGAGCGCGAATACAGTTCGCAAAAATTGGGGTTAGAAGATGGTTGTTCAAATATTTCTTCCAGAATTGATGGCTGTCCGTTAAAAATTACACCGTAGAGTGTGTTATTGCCAAGCCAGCACTGAGAAGAGTGATGAAAACCTGTCAATTTGAACTAATTTACGTTCTTGGAAAGCATCGTATTCATGCCCCTTCTTGGTACTGGGTGTTGTGATAAAGGGGCAGCATATGTTGGTGTCCACCCAGAAGGGCACTGCGGACACGGGTGTTCAGAGTTCCGGGACTGTGCCTGGCTCCCGCCTGACAAATCCAGTTACCATAAATTATTTGTATTAGAGCTGTTTACAGGATGTCCACTGAATACCTCTTATATTTTATTCAGAAACTGGAGAGGAGTCCCCTTTAGACACAGTGGCTGCCCTTTTTGCTCGCAGGTTGGTTGAATTGCCAGCGCCCTATTTTCCTGAGCGCTCGCCTCCGAAGGTCATTGAGTGAGATGGTGCGATCCGCCCGTGTGTGGTGGTGTGTGGCAGTGGGAGGAGAGTGAGAGCGGAGCGAGAAGTCAGAGGAAGCGTTCAGCACTGCTGTCCGGGTTTTGGAGTAATGTGCTGTGATGCTAATGTGCAGCGTAATTAAATCCATTACAGTCCGCTCGACTCTCTTCTAGGAGCTGTATGTTGTAGTATATTCAGTTTAGTTTTGAAAAGGAATTCTCTCCTTTTAAAATTTTTGGACCTTGTGTTTCTGAAACCGTGATTCAGGAAGACAATTTAGCAGTGACTATGCTCATACCTTATGCAGAGATTACCTTGAAATGTTTTCAACCTCTCTGCTCTGTGTACGCCCCTCCTTAGTGCACGTAGAATAGACACACACACAACACACACACACAACACACACACACACACACACAGATTCGCACTGCGTGCATTGTGATGGTTACGGTCAGGTAGGGATTATGTTTCGGGTTTTCAATGGTTTGGCTTACATTGCTTTACCAAGTATTTCTCCCGTTCTAAAGAAAGTGATTAAGTGTGACACAATTCTTCTGTTTTAAAAATTGACGTACTTATGTGATAAAAGATTTCAAGATACTGTCCATAGTGAAAGGGTCCTCTAGCAGTCCATCTTCAGTCATTCAAAAACCAAAAGAAGTGAGCAATAATTAGTCTAGCTTTCAATTCTTTTTAAAGAGCCACAGTGAAATTATCATCATCAATGGATGTAATACCCCGCTAATCATTTACCTTTAGAATTGGGTGCTTAAAGCGGGGCTTGTTTTAGAACAGTGAGGAAGCAAATGGAAGCAGGTGATACAGATCCCCCAATAGTAGTTTTTACACAGGTGATTGTGAAATTAATTGTTCCAGGAGGGGGGCATTTGGTTTTGGCCTTTAACCTCATGGCTTCGAGCTTCAGTTCTAATCAGACAGACCTGGATTTAAGTTTCTGCCCTGCCACTAACGGGCTCGCTGACTTCTAGAATGATAGTAACGTGACTGCTCTAAGTGTAGGGCTCTGTAACTCTAACGCTGGAGTAGCAGTAGGAGCTGCACAGAGGACTACATGGACACTGTGTGGAGCACTAGCCCAAGGCTTGGAGGCAGCAGCTCCTTGGTGGTGCCCCCTGTGTTGTGACTACACAGCGTCCGCCTGCCTTTATTAGGCCAGCGCTGCAGCTGTGGTGCCTGTGATCTCTGCAGAAACTAAGTGGCTTTCAGATGAGCTTTGTGTGTTTCAAAACATCCATTTATCATATTAAATATGAGCTGCTTTTATTTATGAAGCCATTACCTAATTTCTTTCACCTTGATTTTATTAACCTTTGGTGGATTTTGGCATGAGCAGTAACTGATCAGAGATAGCCCCGTCTTCCCAAGTATTTCTGCTGCTAAATAATGGGCATGTTTAGATTGTGAAACAGAATAAGAACAATTGGTTTAGATAGGGGTTCTAACCTATGTCTTTAGACACACACTTATTATCATCCAGTAGTTCTTATGCAAGAAAATCGTTACTAACATCAGTTAAATCGCTGATAAATTACACTTCATCAAGGTGGGATGAGGGCCTGGTCCCTCTCCTGTATCCCCGGAATTTAACATGGGCTGAGGATACCTGCAGTAGAAAGATACAGAAATGGTAGGCACTGCAGTCACTTTGATCAGTGCAAAAAGGAAGTATTCTGAGGGACTGTGGACATATGAAGGAAGCTCAGGAGTCTAACCAGGTACTCAGAAAAGAGTTTTCAAAGTAAATGAGGCTTACATAAAGTCTTGAAGGGTTTTGATGTCTTAGAGGCAGGGAATATTGGGGGACTTCGGGTACACATTATGGTTCTAGAAAGGCAAAAAAAAAGTTATAGTTAAAAAAAAAGGTCAGTGCTGGGGATGTAGCTCAGTGGCACAAGCGCCTGCCTGGCAAGTGCAAGGTCCTGAGTTCAATTCCCCCGTACCAAAAAAAAAAAAAAACAACAACAAAGGTCAGCAGTATTAGAGAGGCTTGTTCTCCCTTGTGTATGGAAGACTCCTTTGTAATTTTGCCAATATCTCAGTTATTTTGATTATTCTTTTCTTTAATCTTTAAAAAAAATTAAAATTTTTTTTGGTTATTCAAGAACATATTAAAATGTTGATATAAAAGTAAAACCCATCTACAAAGTAAATTAAAAAATAATTATACCATGTGGAAAAATATCCTTTAGACTTTTTTTTTTGAAAGGATCCTAGATTCTCAAAGATAGAGCAAGTAGTAGAGATACTGTAGTGAACCCACTAAATAAACATGAAGAAACAGAAAGCTCAGGAGTTTGAATAATGTGCTCAGCCTTCTTCCCAGTTTGCCGGAGAGACCAAAGTGCAGTGACATAACACAAGAACTTGAAGAAGAACATCGGACGACAGCCAGAGTTAACACTCAGTGCATACATACCATGTTTTAAAAACTTGTTATATTATTTTGTACATTAAAGTCCAAAAACAATTCATTATTTTAGTTTCGTAATGACCCTTTTCTTTGGAGTTATTTTTGATATTAGCATTTTTAGATATTCCTTACCTCTTATTTCCTGCATGGATATGCTTCATTTCCTTTACTTTTCTCCCACCTCCGTGGGATGTTAGCTTTCAAAAATGTCTCATAAATTCAGATTTCCCAGTATGCCCTAAATATTGTCTTGTGTCCAAGCATGAGTACCTTGGTGTCAGGGACTAAGCTGGTTGAGTTTATTGATACTTAAGCCAGAGATAATTCTTTAATGAGCTTTCACTAGGAGCTTGGTTTCAAGTTCTCATCAGTTTTCCAAAATTGCTTTATAACAAACCACTGTAATGAAAAATAGTTACTCCTTTTACATATTTTTAAATTATTAAAAAATAGCTCTCCGTGAGATGTGTTATTGCCAACTGGGAGAAATTATTAACTCATGCTGATTTATTAACTTTTATTAATGAGTTTGAAACTCTCCTGCTTTATCACAGTTGGGGACAGAAGTGCCTGAGTGACTGGTTCACCGTCTATAATTCTCATTTCTGTTCTTTTAGGTACTGGAATTCTTTTAGTGTTTGTTTCTTCAAAAGAAAAAAGGAAACAAAATGCACTTCATGTGTTCTCTTCAAGCAGACCATTGTCCCGTATAACATAACAGGTCTTTGTACCTGGATCCTGGTTGATTTTCAAGGGACTTTCTCTTGAAGCTGCAAAATTCTCCATCCATGAGCAATCACATATTGAAGGGGACAGAGTGACGACAAATGAAAGAACTTGTTGTGCACGTGTTTAATGTACAATATAAGCAGAACCCTAACTAGCTGGAAAACTGACCTAAGCTTTAGTTAAGTATGTTCCATTTTACTCTTGTGTAATTGCTGTGTAGCTTAAGCTAAAACTTCCGTTCCCTTGAATTTTGACTTTGTTTACTGTTGTGAAAGTAACAGCTAAACGTCTTTGTTTAAGTGAAATGGAATGGCGCATTTCTCCCCCACCCCCTGAAGTTTTCTCCCTTGACACCTGGCCTGGCATGAATGACCACTGTCAGTAAACGCAGCACACACGATTTCATCAGTAGTGAAAATAGTAATGCATCACCTAAAAATTTTCAAGATAATCAGGAGAAGATTGTTTAGTTCCTAGAGATGCCACATTTTTTCTGTGGAATTATTCATTCGCTTCATTACTAGGAAATTGCTTAGATTTTAGTTAAACTAAGGACAATTGAATAATTTACTTGTATTTTGGATTTAAGACTATTGACATACACTAAAAGGTCTTGTTTGTTATTCAGATGTGTGTTAAGTAGCAATAATAACGATTAGGAAGAAAAATATTCAAAAATGCTAAATTTTTAGTTTTATTTCATACGGGGTAGTCTGACATTTCAATATTACTGAATCTCCTATTGTTAGCAAAGCATCCAAATAGTTTAGTAATTTTCCCTAGTAATAAATGTACAAAGTTAAATTATTCTAAAATATTATGCCTGGTGCTTACAGTATATTGTGTTTAAAATACAGTGTGTTTAACTGATGCCAGATCATGAAAGTTAAAACGGGCTGGAGCTCTTGAATTTGAATTTAATTTAAATTTTGAAGATTTTGAAAGTAAATTAAAGTAGAAAGCCCATTTGTATTTCTGCATTCTTGTGGAACACGGTTCTGTGGTACAATAAATCATAGACTCTGTAGAGCCCCACTAATGTGGCTGGATTTTATGAACAAAAAATATAGTCAGCAATTGCTGTTATTTTTAAAAATTGTTTTTTACATTAGAGAAATAGATTGCACTTTAAGCTATGATGGCTTAGAAAATGGCCTGTAGCAGTCACAAAAATCAATCAAGATGTAATATAGCATAAACATCTATATCTTTAACCAAAATGCTGTAATTTCTGTTTCCCAAAAAGATGTATGCTACCTTTAACACACTGTGTGGCAGTTTATTATTATATGTAATAATGTTTTTAAGGACTTAATTGATGAAATTCTGTGCCATTCATTTTGAGAAAAAAAAAAACAATTATTCAAAGAAGACCAGAATTGTGGTTTTCTATAGCAATGAAACTTTTAAGTATTTACTAACTTTTCCTAATCACAGTGGCTTTCTAATCGCATAGGAAAATGCCTTATTTTGACAGGAGCTAAAGCAGGTAGCTGATGCTAATAAAGTAGCACTGAATAAATTTAATCATTGGACCAAGATCCTGCCTCACCCCTTTTAAAGTGCTCACTAGTCATTTTTAGATAAAAGTATTATGCATTCGTGTTTAATTCTAAATATTCGATGAAGCAGATATTTAGGACACAATTTTAAAGCCTGCAAGAGAGACAGAATAAGAAATAATGGCAAGCATTATTTTCTTCTTAATTTAAAATCATGGTATGATTATGTATAAGGGAAAAGGAGATACATTTACAAAATCAATGAGATACATTTAGAAAGATCAGATACCTTAAATGCTTAATGTAGTTTTACTTAAATAATTGTCAGTGGATATAACTAATGTTACAAATGGCATTTGTATTTTATGATCAACCAATTGGTTACTAGCTTTAAAGAGTTATTATATAGCTATTTACTCAGTATCATCTACTTTATAAACCTATATTCTTCTGTTTTTTTTTTTCTTGTTTTCTTTTTTTGAGACAGAGTCTCACTGTGCAGTCCAGGCTGGCCTTGAACTCACCATGTAGTCCCGGCTAGCCTAAAACCCACAGTGATCCTCCTGCCTCACCCCTGATTGCTGGGATTACCGGTGTGTGCCACCATGCCCAGCCTGTATTCCATTTTAAAGGGCACATTATTATGAAAAAAGGAAATTCTTCCATTTGTGAAAAACCTATTCTTGGGGCATAAGACTAATTTTTTTTTTTCAGAAATTCAGATAAAAATAAACTTTACTATAAGATGATTTGGTGTATCGAGATGTGATTGTAGCTGAATACATCCAAATTTATGTGTCGTAATGGATCTGTAATATAGCACCCTTTATGATTCATTCTTTATGCTTTCATTCTTCCAGCTTTCTCCCAGCCTACTGTAAGGCAGACCTAGCAGGCAGAAATGGTATCGGGAAACATAAAGGCTGCTGTCTCTTCCCAAGTATCATGTAGCTAATTTCATCTTCTACTTTGAATAGATGAATGAGTATTGCTACATCTAAGCATATTTATGTGAAGTTAAGGGGAAAAACCTTTACTGTATAGACCTGCTGCCTTTGTCTTGAAACACCAAAGGAAATTTGAGCTCATTCTTTTATGGATTTATAAACCAAGGGTAATAAGATACATTTAAAGCAACATTTGTTTTTAATTCCAGTACTACAGAAATAAAATAGTAAAACTAAACTACTTTTAAAAGATTTTAACTATATTGGTTAAATCCCATTAATACATATATTAGGTGGAAAAGGTCTTTTATACGCTATTGTGATTCCCGCGATATAAAGCTTGTTAATTATTTACAGATAGGTGTAGTTGAAGAGTGTGGTTTCTGGTATTGATTTTACTGAATAAAGTTAAATTAATACTAGGATAGTAGAACTTTGGAATAATTATTATAGTTAGAATTTTAAGTCCTTGGAGATAAACAGAGCACCATACACTTTGTACAGTAGATGGTGGATCAATTATTAGTGAAGAAATGTATAATCAAATGTGTCCATTTTATAGGTGAGGAAATTAAAGAGTCATAAAGGGACAAAGTCAATTTATAACAGTGTAAGGATAATTCCATCAGTGAAACGTTTATTATTTTACAAATTCTGGGATGTCAGAACTGGTGTCAGAGGTTAGCAAAGCAGGCTGTCATGCAGAACTGGGTCATAGTGGAAGCATGGTTGTCAGGTATGTAAGTGTGTGAAGCAGGCCAGTGTGTTGTCAAATAACTGCCTGGATCCTTCTCGGCTGATTCACAGAGAAATTATGAGTTGAATTTAAATGTCCTCTGATTGGACTTCAAGTTATGACTCTGAAGTGAAACCACAAGAGAGGTACTACCTTACTTACCAGCAGACAAAAATCCTTCAGCCAGTACATTTGAGAAAAAATAACAATTTATACGATTTTCTTCAGTATGTAGACTAATCCTGAATCTGTAATTTTCACAGAGGGAAAGTGGCTATTGTACATTCAGTGCTATGAAGCATTCATAACGATGGTAATATTTAGCTGTGTGTTTCATGTGCCTGTGTATGTCTATGCATCTACATGTGTATATGTGTATGTATATGTACACAGATATATTATATACATGCCCTTTAATTTTAGTGCTGCAAGGCGGACCCTTGGATGGCACGTACAGATTGGTTCAGTTTCACTTTCACTGGGGTTCATCTGATACGCAAGGTTCTGAGCATACTGTGGATAAAGTGAAATATGCTGCAGAGGTAAGACACTCTCCTTTACAAGGAGAAATATTTGTAAGCCGTTAGCATTAATCTCAAAAGTTTAATCTCGTAAATTCAACTTACATCAAGGGAACCACTTCTTTTCCCAAGGTTTTCACATTTGCTTCTTATAAAGTTTAGTTGTGCTATTACATACAATTAAGTCTATAAAACTTCCTCTAATGTCTGCAAAGACATCATTTGCAAAAATAAACGAATTCAAATGGGAGAAATTTATTGTAATGTAAGTGTAGAAATAAAATTTGTGCCTCTCCTTAAATTTCTACATTTCGTGGTCTTCATTGTGTTGATGAAATCACTTGCTATTCTATCAAGTAATGGGAATTTGAAAAATTATCCACATTTTAACTCTTTTTAGTATCCATTAGCTGTGGAGAAAAGATCATTGGATAAGATTTTATTATGTAAATCACTCATTTTGTCTCTCATGGTTTTAGCTGCATTTGGTGCACTGGAACACCAAATATGGGGATTTTGGAAAAGCTGCACAACAACCTGATGGACTGGCTGTTTTGGGTGTGTTTTTAAAGGTTAGTTGATGGCCCAATTCCTTGTTTCCTGTTTTCAAGAAAGACTGACAAGATAGAACATTCCTAACAGAAAAAGGTCCTTCCCCAAAAGACCTGAGGAAATGCCTTTAGCTCTCAAGTATTTTCAGGTTTACTTCTTCCTGCATCTCTCCCTGTCTTCTTTCTGGAGGTCAGAAAGACCATCTGGGAGGAAGTGTGATTAGATACCACTTAGCTGTAAGGCAGAAAGAGGTCAACTTCAGATGACTAGTGGGTGTTTTCGTTTTTGTTTTTGTTCTTTTTTAATTTAACCTGAAGCTAAGGTCACTAAGGTATTATTTTATGATAAACAATGCTAAAGTAAGATCAGGTTCTGGACACTGGATCTGGAGTCCTAGAGAATTTCAGGCAGCAGTGGTACCTCACAGGCTGAGTTGTGAGTGGTCCTCTAGCCAGAAGTAAAGGGGAGTGTAGGATGGTCTGAGCTGGAGACTCATGAGCCCTGACAGCGTGTGCTAAGGTGGTAAGCGCAGCTATTAGCAGAGTCATCCTAGGACAGCACAAACGGAGATGATGAATTTGTTCAGGATGTAACTCTGAAAAACTTCGGAATTTGAGGCTGCTGAGGCATTGGGAAGACGCTGATTAAATGACCAAAAAGGAATATGAGAGTTAGGGTCTGTTGCGGGGGTGCTAGCGGATACAAGCCAAAGGAGGAGAGAATTTTAGAAAGAAGATCGTAAAAGAGTGTCATCCTACAAGGAGGCTGGGTAAGGTACACCCTTGAAGAGTAAGCTTTACTTTGCCAGTTGGAGGTCACTGGGGCATTTAAGAAGAGCTATGCAGGCAGTTTGAAGACCAACGACAGAAGGGATGTCTACAGTATCAGTGTCTTCAAGCTAAGAGAGACAGATAGCTGGTATATCGTGGTATATTTTGCTTCACGTTTTTGGAGAAATTTTATGGTAGTGCTGATGACCAGATCAGAACTGACACATAGCTGCTGGTTTACTATATCTTGCCTTTTGTGTTTTTATATAGATTGGCAGTGCTACACCAGGTCTTCAGAAAGTCCTTGATATGCTGGATTTCATTACAACAAAGGTAATTTTCATTAGGGTACCTATTTTTAGTACTCCATTGGCTTTTGAAATTCCCTTTTATCAAAATGAATAGTCTTGTTGCCATGTAGGGCTTGGGTGAACAGCTAGTAATGATGAAATACAGCTCATATATTCAGTTAATTTTTCTTTCTCCCAAAAGTTGAGCCTTAAGACTTGTGGTTGTTTAATCTTGATTTGTATCACTTCAAGATCAAGAGGTGGAGGGGAGAAGAGAGGGGTGAGAAAGGGATGAGAAAAGGAATGAAGGTGTGTTCTGCGCACACACCAGCTCTCCACAAGGAGTGTAAGCAGTACGTACTGCAAACACGTCCTGATAAAAAAAGAATTAGAGAATCATAACTACATGGAAGATAAAAGATGATCTGCTCAAATGATTCAGTCATTCATAAAGCCAGTACTTACAGAATACTCGCTGTGTGCCAGGCGCTTTGCTAATCCAAGTGGTGCAATAGCAAACAAGATGAAGAAGGCCCTCCCCATGGAGACGTATGTTATGTGACTTCTTTGAATTCATCCTTCCTGTGTTTAAATCGCCTCTACAGCAAAGCTGTGTAGAGGTCACGGTGCATCTTAAGCGCTACAGTCACCTCCAGTAATGTCATCACCAGTGGCAACCCTGGCTGCACGAAGCTCGTCCTTCAATTGAAACAGCGTCTTTTTAAATTGGCACCTTTCCCTCCTATCCTGATCACTTGAATCATATACACCCCATCCTTCTTCCTCATGACCCTCCTGCCTCTCACAGCCTTCCACTTACTGCTGCAAGGCTAATTATCTCTAGTTCCCCTTAATACTTCTCCTATGACATAGTTTTATCTCTTTGCAACAGCCATGGCACTTTTCCAGTAATGCATCCTGTTTGCGCCTGTAGATCTGAAAGTATAGTACCTAGACCTGAATGCGGTTCTTTAGTTCTGACCCAGCTGTCAAGCAGCATAGCAAGACAATCACTTCCTCCTCAAGTACACTGTCCTTACAAACTAATTTTTTAACAGTAAAAGGTCTCACAGTAAATACTAAATAAGATCACTTAAAGACTTAATGGAAAACATACACTATTATTTTAGATGGCAAGATGAAAAATGGACATTTGAAAATAGTAGTTTCTCTTGCTCATACCTAGCAATTTATATGTCCCAATCAAATACCTTCTGTTAATTTATTTTCATTTTGTTTGCCAGTATGTGTGGAACTTCTGTTTAATACACAGCTATGGTTATCAGAGAGGAGTAGACCTGTTTGTGTTTTGTGCTCTCCTACTGGTCTCCTGCTCTGACTGTGACAGTTTTAACCCGTGTTTGCCCAACAGGGTAAGAGCACTGAATTCACTAACTTTGATCCTCACGCCCTCCTCCCTGAGAACTTGGACTACTGGACTTACCCAGGCTCACTGACCACGCCTCCCCTTCTGGAAAGTGTGACCTGGATTGTGCTCAAGGAACCCATCACCGTAAGCAGTGAGCAGGTTGGTTTCCTGAGATGTCCACTTAGAGACAGAGCATTGAATGGAGGGTGAAGAGCTTGGCTTTTGAAGTCGGATATCCCTGGGATTTAGCCCTCTTGGTGCTGCTTCTAGTCCTGCTTCTTCTAGTGTCTAAACAGTATTTAGTAGATAAACAGTACGCAGTAAATTGTTGTTGTTAACCAGAACCCACATAGTTGGTTTAGTATGTAAAATTGGATGGTCATTTTAAGGATTAAATGAGAAAGATGTCTGTTATTGAATGTATGCATTTTTTTGTTACCTGTGAAAAAATAAAAAATGGAAATTTCATCCTGAAGGTTACATAGATACCAATGATAATTCCCCAACCTACTGACCACTGACGTAAGACCTTACTGCAATCTTATCTATACAAGAGTGCATTTCTGAATCCTGACAGAAGAGAAAAATTATCTTTCAAAATTCACTCCATCTTCCTGTAGAGGCTCAGACCAGGTACTCTTAATTAAATGATCATAACAGCTTTAAGACACTAAAGAGTAGTCAGAGAAGTGGATCCAAGTGAGTTTTTCATTGACTATATCTTGTCTTAGCACACAGTTAATGTGTGACTTGGACGTATATGTTGAATGTGGAAAATGAGCATCTCTTAGTATTCACAAGAGGATGGATTTGAACAATATAAGGAGAGAGTCAGCAGCCAGCATTTTTGAAAATGACTGTTGAGGAGTTGTATGACTTAAATCACAACATTTGGAAGCATTTGAATTTAGATATGCAATGTATACATTGTCCAGCTTTATCTTTTCACTGCCTGGAATTGTGTTGATAAACAATACGAGGTACAGGAAAATTGAAGAGCTTCTCACCCAGCTGCCTCACAGCAGAATCAGGTCTGGGAGCAAGGGTTCTATTTTTGCGTTCTCCCTTAGAATATTTACTTACGAATACTAAACATAGTTCACATCTTTCTTTAGAGGAAATCGCTGTCTAACTGGAAACTCACTTGTCTTATATACTATGGTCGTGGGCCAAGTGAGCTAATTGACTGTTGTCCTTGTACTCATAACATTTGAGCAGCTTCTGAAGTAGAAGGACAAGGGAAGAATATAATGCCGCTTACCTGTAGATGCGGTGTTTGGGTTATGATTTTAAAATATAAAATTCTTTTTCCTCCTTTCACTGAGAACAGTATAGCCTGAGAACTGAATCTGCCTTTGATAGCTCTTATGTCAGGTAGATTTATTGGGTACATGCACACCCGTACACACAAATACACGGGCAGTTAAGGGCAGTAACCTACTCCATTAGTCCTTGAGCTCTGAACTTGCACTGAAGATAGAAAGTGATATTAAACTGGAAATGTTGTATATATTGGCAAAGTACCACTGTAATAGTTGGGATATTTTTCATATTGTGTAACATGGAGCGTGGAGGGAGGCTCATGCTCAGCCCAGACAAGCAGAGCGCTTGGCTTCCTCTTTGCAATTTCCTTCTCTTAACCTTGGCTATTGGTAACTTAGGTTGTTAGAAAAGCCCTTTGAGGATCCCATCTGGTATAACCACATTCTGAAGAGGAGTAAAATAACTTTCCCATTGGTTTTTTAGGAGTAGAGACACCTTTCCCTGACAGCCGCTAGCAGAGTTTCAGATCTCACTGGCTAGCACTGTGTTCCTTGCCCGCTCCAGCACAGTCCTCAGTAAGGGGCAGGGACCACCATGCTCATTGAAGCCCTTCAGCTTGCCGCTTGAAGGAGAAAGTAGGTGTCTGTTAATGAGAGAGTAGAAGGGGAATGGGTGTTAGGTAAGCAATATGAATAAGTCTGGTACTTTGATTTTCTATGCTATCTGGTGCCAAAATAATGAGTCAAGTTGACCAACATGAGATTACAATTTAAGTGGTGGAAAGGAAGTATAAATCACTTACTCTATTTTGACCAAGAAGTTCAGTTGTTTCAGAAGCAGGCTCCTCCATGTTCCAGGGATGCTGTTGTTACGACTCTAGGTGTCCTTAGAGAATTTCTTCGCATTGTAGAAGCAATAGAATGGATCTGTTTTATGAGTTGACCTATATTAAAGTTGACTTCCTGGGAAGGATGGAAGGGATATTACTGAATAAAAATGATCAAGTTAAAGGCCATCGGTTCATGGCTTCTATATGACCACCTAAACTACCTTTCTTCATTTGGATCAGGTCTTGGCAAGGAGAAGGGAAATAGGACATTCCATGAACAACCTCAAAAGAATAAGAGCCAGTTTGATAGCTGCCTGTGTCACAGCTGTGGGCCAGAAAATTGAAATAGGTTCAGAGGCAGTACAGACTGACAGTGGTGTGAAAACCCTGCCGGGCGGACACATTCTTGGCTGTCTATATATTTAAGCAGAGATGCCAGCTCATCACTCAGCTTGTGGAGCTTGCAAATCCTGGACCCTTTTCTGACTGTATAGATGCTGTACTTTTTCTTTCCTGAAGCAGAAAACAAAATTATCATTTGAATCTAGAGCATGTATTGTTATCTTACATGTTAGAGCTATGAATGTATAGACTTTCGATGTTTGATTTAATATGAAAATAAGAAAAATACACTCACTGAAATTGTTCCTTAAAATGATCCCAATTTTATATAAATCAGTTTGTTATATGAAGGCATACTATTAGGAACCGAATTGAGTAATGATCCTTGATACAGCACTGTGAATATTAGAGGATGTATTTCGAGAGTAAACGTATGCACATAAGTCAACACTATTGCAAAACTTCAGTTTTTAATTTAATTTTCCTTTTGTCTCATAGATGTCAACGTTCCGTAAGCTTCACTTCAACTCAGAGGGCGAACCCGAAGAGCTCATGATGGACAACTGGCGCCCAGCTCAGCCATTGAAGAACAGGCAGATCAGAGCCTCCTTCAAATAAGATGAGCCCCAGCGTCGGTGTACACACAAGGACTCTTAGATGTTTTCCTGTAGCTAAGCACAAACCTGCCTTGGTGATTTGGACCCCAGCTGCTTTTCTAGATCCTTCATCTCTCACCTGATGTGCTTCCTAATAAACTGTGAAGAGCAAGGCCAATTGTCGTGCTTGACCGAGTGCTGGGATGGGCTGGTGCTCGGCTTCTGGCGTAGCCTTTCTGTAACAGGATTCTAACACGAAGGGTAGGAATAAAGCACCTTGACTTCGTTCACAGCATGGAGGGGGATGAGCACTCAGCACTGTTCACCAAAGTGCTGTTTTTAAAACATAGGAAAGTAGAATGGTTCAGTTCAAATCCATGTCTTGAGACAAACTGAGCCAACTGAGGCAAATCAGATAAAATATTTTATGTAATGTAAATCAAACAAATGTTTGTGATCCCAAGATGCTGTATTAAAGATAAACTTTTAAAATTCTTATATATTTGTAGCAAAGTTATATTAAAGATGAATTATGTTGTAATTTAGTGACTTTTGAACTCTAGGGATATAAGAAAGAGTATATCTGTAAACATTGTTATAGCTGTGATACAGAGTATATTTCCATTCAAATGATACCATAACAATAAATATTGTATTTTAGATATATTCGCTAATAAAATTCAGAGTTCTATTTTGCATTATTTTATTGTGCATGTGGCAATGGGCGATAATAGAAAAACAAATGCCAGCGTTCACAGTCCGTATCAGTTCATTATTAATGGTGAGCCATCATAATTGGCTACTGGTATCAGTAAGGGGTCTCCTTAAAGGAAAGCCCTGGAGGTCATTTACTATTTGCTAATGACTTTAAGTGCTTTATGAGCACTTAGTCATGCAATCCTCATGACAACCTGGTGAGGATTAATCGTGCCGGGGAAAGAGAACTGAACACATTAATTAACAACAACGTAAAGCAGGGTGGACCCACTGCCTTGATACAAGCTCTTGAAAAGTAAAGTCCATCATATTTAAAAGGGCAGTTCAAGGAATATTGGAATGTTAGAGTGATAAATTATATCTGTCACAGATAGGAAAAAGAAGAGTGAATAAATGAAAGAAAAATCACCCTCGTTTAAGCCTGTTCTGGATTCAGTTCTGTGCCTTGACCCCGGACTGCTTGGTTAATGTGGTTCTGGAATGCTCAGGTTCTACCCTTTAGAGGCCGAGAACTCTGGGTAACTTTAGATCGAAGGTTTTCTGAACTCATTCACACTCGCACCTGCTGTCCTACGGCATTATTCTGAGTTGTAGGCAGAAGTGTGGCGGTTTGCTTTGAAGCGCAGCTCATCTCAGCTCCTCTGGTCCTGACCATGAGGAGAGAAGGGCAGGCGGGAAGGCGCTCTTTACTGTAGTTCATCTCGGTTCCTGGGGCCCAGGCTCATCTCCAGTACTCCCCTTGGTAACAGCTGGGTGCTTAGAAACGAAACTTTCACTGAGAGACATTTCAGTCTAATCTGGTTTAAATGTGTTTTCAGGGTTCTTGTTCCTCATTCTTCTGTCAGCCCATATGAGTGGTGCCTGGGGAAGCACCTGGATCTGGAAGCTCCTCCAGATCTTTGCTGCCCTCGGCTATGGTGCAGCAGGCTTACGCCAGCTCAGGCTTCTGTGTCCACTGCCGTGGGCTCAATTGCTCTGGTCTTTGGAGGCATCTGTAGCCTAAAGCTCCTCATTGCATTATCTCCAGTTGCAGTGTCCTGTGTCCTATCAAGACCCTGGGGAAGGGTGCAGATGAATGAAAACAGGAACGGGGAAGCCGCAGTCACCTAGGTAGGATCACAGGGATAGTTTCTGTCTTCTGGCCCAGGTGCTTTGCTTCAGCACCCAAATTTGATGAAACAGTGGGGAAGCAGAGGCAGCAGCACCTGGTACCCTTGCTAACTTCCTCTTCTGTCCTCTTTGGTACACTGGGTCTGAAAAGGTCGGCTGGGACTTCTGTGTAACAGCAGCTTCCTTTATGCTTTTTTTCCCCCTTCTGAAAGCAGCGTTTACTTGGATTCTTTCCCAGGACATAATAATAGACAAAATGTCCAAAAAGAAAATTAGCTTCACAATAGAGAAAAGCTACCAGTAAATATTTCACAATTAGTGTCCACGGGATTATAGGTGTGCTGCCATTAAAGACATAAGGATATTTATTTGGCCTATTTGGTAAAATGTAAAGAGATTTAAGTTGGGCTTCTCCCTCTTGCCTCTGCGTGTTCTCGGTTTCTGATTTTCACCGTAAGGACTGGGTAGTGCTTCTCTGTGTTTAACAGAGAGCATCGTTATTTTCTGTCTAGTATGCTTAACAGTTTGTTTTATGGAGGCACAAAAAGGAACTCTAAAGGCTCTGACCCTGAAAGGTTCATATTCCATAAATAGGAAATCACACAATTTCCTTTGTACATATGAGACCCTGGGAGCTGAGACGCCCATTCTATGGACTTGGGGGTAGAATCACAGTCTACTGACTGCAGGCTGCACCCAGCACAGCTGACAGTATCGCATTCTGTAGAACAGCGCACAGCGCCTGCATGATGAAGGACAGGTATTGCTAGGAAAGATACTTGGAGAGAGGTGAGGAAACAGAAGGGCCTCTTAGGAGATGGGGTGTACCCAGAGCTCTCCAAGCCAAGACCTCCACACACACCTTTGGTCTTTGGAAGGCAGGCTGTTCCTGACATGTTTTGGAGAAGATATAATACTTCCTGCTCCTTTCATCAATAATGATTCTGCCTTGTTTGGCAGAGGCCAACACACCCTCCCAGAGCAGGTCTCTCATTTTGTCTCAGCCTTTATGCACCTGAGTTTCTGCTTCCTAAAAGTTTTCAGGTCTGCATGCTTTGTGGTTGGAAGTCTAGTCTCAAAACTTTCTGGCAAGAATGATGCTTTTCAATTCTGAGAGCTATGCATGAAACAAGTGTAGAATTTCAAAACAATTTCATAGACATACCCTCCCTCCCATGGCTGGCAGTGTGTGTGTTCATGATGTATTTTACACAGTATATCTTGGCAAGCTACTTGGTTCCTTTAGGGACCAATGTTAAGGTAGAATGTAGTGTTACATCACCTCTCCAAGCCATATGCCCTCAACAGAAAGAAAAATTCAAGTATTGCTGAAGTGTTCATGGAGAGGACACAAGTGTGGTTATATGCCACAGATGTACAGCATTTCATGGCCAATTCTCATTCACCAGTGGTCCTCTTTCTCCTCAAGGATTCTGAGTCTCCCCTTGTGCAGTTTCCTGTCCCTAGAATCTCCCTTGAACCTCATTTTCTTCTCAGTTCTAACAGAGCAATTTAGCTTCACCTTTCCAGCCTCCTCCCGCCTAATACACACATACATTGTCATACACACACTCAAACTCATGAATGCGTGAACGTGCATGCATACCGTCTCTTGATAGTCTACTGTACTTAAGCATGTCAAAGGCTAGCAAAGGAAAGTCATGCCAGTTTCAAGATCTATTGTCCATAAAGGTGGCAGGAGAATTTCTTTTCCGCATCACTAATAATTTTTAATGCTTCTACTGCAGATATATTATCTCTCATATACTCAATACACTAAAATAAACATTTTTCTCATTTTACAAATGATTTGTGTGCTCAAAGAGACTAGAAAAAACACCCATGGTCCTACGGCAGACATGGCAAAAAGGGGGTGCACACCCAAGCTTTAGGGTTTGTATCCCCTCCCCCTTACCTCCTGTGGCGTGGTACTTGCTGACCCAGGGTCTGATCTCCAAATCTATCAAACTCTCGCCCTTATTCTTGCTCTTTCTCTAAACTGCTGGTTTTGGAAGATGAACCAAGAGGGCCACAATAAATGGTTTTCAAAAGTCCAGCATGATAACAAGTCTTCTGAAATGGATTTTAGAGATAGTTGTACAACAATATTAATGTACTACCAAGGTTTAAACTTAAAAAAGGCCAAAGTGGTACATTTTATATGTATTTTATGATAATTTTTATAAAAGGTAAGTGTAAATTGTTGCTATACTATCTACTATTTCATTATTTAATTCTTCCCTGTCCATTGAAGAACAAGCACAAAATAAAAAGATGCTTACAAATATAACTTAAAAGATGGCCAGGAATTTAATCAAAATATGACATCATCATGAGCTAGCTAAGGATGATCCATTGGAAATATCTTTTTTGTCAAAACTGATATTTATACTTTCATGTCACATTAGACCAAGATAGATTGACAAAGGACTCTCAGTAAACTTTCAACAAATTAGACAGTAAATAAAATAAAAATGCAAATCTGAAATAGATTAATCATTTCTCTTTCAAAAAATAGAAATTAAAGCCAAAATAAGAAGAAATAGGGGGAAACCCTGCAGAGTGAAGTTTGTAGCTGACACCACCTGGCCCAGGAGCAACAGAAGAGTTCTTCAGACTCCACCCTCAAGGGCTCAAGTGGAGGCCATTTGACCAGTCAAAAAATTAAAAATATTCTTCAGTGCATTTTGCAGAAGGCAATGTAATAGGGAAAGAACTGGACTTTATTATTTGGCTTTTATTAGGGTTTTTCAGACTTTGAAACAAATGGGGGAAGTACTTGTTTTTGCTGACATATTCATTCATTCCTCTATATTTAAATATTTTGCAGAATGATCAGGACCGGCATGATTCTTGGGGGCTTCGTTGAAGAACACAGCATCAGTGGCTTCCGGATATCTAGGAGAGAGAGGGAGGTGATATCAGACGTCACCCACTGGTGCTTGTAACAACAGCCTGGTGTCGGTTGCACTAATACTGAAGGCTCTTCATTTTAAGTGATTTTTGGAGCTTTACTAATTATAGCTGATATATTTTGAGCTCATTTTGAACATGATAGTATGTCTTTTACATAGATTATCTCAAGAGAATCTTCTTTGTTAGTTCCTATGATAGTCCTCATTTTATAGATGAGGAAAAATGATTTTAATAAATGAAATAACTGGACCCAGTTCAGACAACTGAGAAGCTCAAAGCCTGGAATTAAACTTAGGCAATCTAATTCTAGAACTCATTGTGACCAACTATAGCATTTGCATCCTATAGATCATTCTCGCCAAGCAGAGATTAACAAGTGAGGTATCAGAAACAAATTAAAATGATAAATATAATAAAAGAAAGAAAATCACACAGCAGGAAGTGTAGCCTTTTGAATCCATCTGAGAGACCTACATTCCAATATATTTCAGAGAGTGGGTGTGAGAAGTAAATGGGATTGTGTACAAAGAGAACCAATGTAGTCTGGCTCACAGTAAATGCTCAAAAATGGTTGTTCTTATAAATACAGTACACTCAGAGTAAGATCTTTTCTCCAATTAAAGCTAAGGCCTGAGGATCTCATTAGCCTCTGCATACCCAAGCTAAGTATGGTAAGACAGTGGTGCATGCGAGGTCATCCCACCTCTGCTATTGCCTACCATGTGATGACAGGGCAAATATTCCCAGGCTACAGTTTTCCCATCTATTTAATGGAAATAGCAAAGATGCATGCATATTAGGGTTGTTTTGAGGATTTAAAAGGGTAATCTAGATAAAACTCTTAATATCATGCTTATCTCATAATAAGCACTCAATAAATGTTACACAAAATTACTAAAACCCATTGACTCAATCACATAGCTATGCAGTTCCTGATGTAGGAATCAGATCTTTTTCTTATGCTTTGGAAATTCATGACCAAATGAGTGAATATATGATTACCTTCTTTTCAGAACTAACTTCAGCCATGTCCCACCTAGTGGAATGAATATTTTTCTGGGTGTACCCAAGGGACACCCATAGTGACATCTTCAAAAATGAACACTGCCCTATTAACAGTGGAATGACAGTCCCTGAGATGAGTTTGTGAAGATCAAGTATCTGATGCCTTCCTCAGCATAGAGACACAGCTGGCAGGGTGATAAAGATCCGCTACATATTTTTTCAGTTGATTTTGGAGTGTTGAAGAAGTGCTTTTGTTGGAGTCTTCCCAAACATTCTCATAGCCTCGTCTTCCATGCCAGCAAACAAACACCTGGTGTATTTGCTTGGTTTTCATTTACCCACCTTTCAGGTAAATTTATTCAGTAATTACAAAATGGTTGCTATAGTCATGAGTTTATTATATATATATATATAAAAAGTTACTGTCCTGAAATAATTTTATACTTAATATTTATATTGCAAGTTGACTTAATGCACACCAGTAAACATTGCTCTATTCAGTTCTGCAAACAAAGTGGAAAACATTCACAATAATGTTTTTACATTTTTTTGGTGCACTGATCCTACCTGGGAAGACTCACAGAAAGTCTGGTCTGCGAAAGATTTTCTATTCAAACATTTCTTCAGATCTGAGAGGTGTGTACATTTATTCAGAAAACATTCCACAGGCAACTTCACTATTATTGCCTGCTGAGAAAGCAGGAAATCATGGACACTCCTTGTGGACAAAGTCCACGGGTGATGGATTCCTGTAGGATCCCTGATTCTGAGGGCTTTCATCACTCCCGCTCTCCACCAGGTCTGCCATGGCACCTGGAGCAGGGAACCCACTGACATTTCTGGCAGTACTGTCCACCAGCCCGGGCTTCCAGCTGGGGCCTGCAGTCACATGCCTCTGCGTGTACCTCCTTCAACTCACAAGTGCTGCGATGCTCTTGAAAAAGGCAGGGGTGGTGCCGTGGTGCCCCCGCTCTATGTATTGCACTGCTGGGAAGTGTGTGTGCCCCAGTGCTGACAAGTGCTGTTTGCTGTGGTCTCTAGGGACTTGCACAGCGCAGGGCCCATTGGATCTGCACGCTGTGGACGCCTTCACCCAGACTCCATCTTCCTTCACAGTGCTTTCATCTGCATGGCATATTCTGGTGTTTTGTTTTGTGGCTGGTACTGGATACTGAAAGCAAGAAATGTGAGCTATATCCCCAGGCCTTCTAAAATTTTATTCTGAGCCTTTTAGGTTGTCCATGCTTAACCTCAAACTTGCTACCCTTCTTCCCCAGTCTCCTGTGGCAGAGACTATGGGCACATGCCACCACGCTCAGCCCATGTTTTGTTTTTAATCATCTGCCACTCCAGTCTGTGTGTTTCCTGTAGAGTTGAGTCTCAGTGAGACCAATGTTTCTGTCTCTTTATTAAGCCAGGAAGATTTTCAGCTCTTATATAAACTAATTAATTATAGTAGGCATAAAAGCTAATGTCCAACTTTGTTCCTCAATAGCATATTATTTTAACATCTTCTGAATTCACTGAATGACAGAGGATTTCTAAATCCACTCACAGCAATTAACCATGCATATTAGATTTCTAAGGCTTCTGTAACAAAGTACCAGAACCTGAGTGATTTAACAGTACTGTTTATCTCACAGGTGAGGCTGGAGGTCCATAATCAAGGTGTTGGCCAGACCTCTGAAGGTGCCAGGAAAGGGTCCATTCTGGACCTGTCTACAGTTGATTTGTGGCAGCCCTGTTTTAATCTTCACAGAACACATTCTCCCCCCATATTTGTGATCAACTTCCTCCGTTGTCTAAAGAGGACACCATTTATACCTCATTCAGTGCTGAACCTACCCCAGGATGAGCTGATCTTCACTAATTACACTGGCAATGAATCTGTTTCCAAAAAGGGTCACTTTGGGTGATACTCCAACACTTTTTTTTGGGAAGGGGGAGGAATATAGTTCAACCTGTAGAGCCATTCAAAATATCTTTTCATGTAAGTTTTGTATACATGACGAAGAGAAATTTTATTCTTTACCAATTTCTAAACATTTCCTTTCTGGATATACTTACTATTCTTTCTATGGGATTTTATGGAGTATATATAGCAGGTTTTAATCACTGTGAGAGAAATTCAACATACAATTAAGATTGAGAAAATCACAATCTAGAGCCCTTGTGCTTTTGTTGCATGTAAACTTATGTCTTTTACAATAGGCAAATTTTTAAACATAGTATTTATATAGGTCTAAACTGGAAATAATAAATACCTGCCAAGTTACAGTCATATGCCTGATGTCATTAAATATATTTATTATAAATTTTTATTTTTCATGAAGCAATCTGTTTCTTAGTCATATCTTGTGTTTCACCAGTATATTTATTATCTTAGACTTATGGTTATGAATGTATTCTTATTATAATGAAGGAAGGCTATTTCTATATAGGTCAGAATATCAGTGCATTACATTTTTATGAGCATTTCAAAAAACAAAGCCCTAAGTGTCTTGTTAGTTGAAAAACAATTATTTTGTATGAAGTAAGCACCAGATGACTGATTTTGTGTCAACTTACTGAATCAATACGGAGAAACAATTTACTTTTAAACTTCTTTCTGAAGAACCTGATATTCGGGCACATCTAAACTTCAAAAATCAGCCTTTTCCGAGAAAAGAATTCCAGCCAGGCCTGTTGGCGCACACTTGTAATCCCAGCACTAGGGAGGCTGAGGCAGGAGGATCATTATGAGTTTAAGGCCAGCCTGGGCTACAAAGTGAGCTCAACATGAGCCTGAACTACAGGTATGATTTCTTTATATAATTTTCGTTTAATCTTCAAGGACAAGAATAAAAATATTAGACTTCTATTGAAACAGTCTCAGGCAGAGTGAGTCCAACTCCAGGCTGCTGATGCAAATTAAGTCAGGTCACAGGGTCAGTGATCACAGGAGCTAAGGCACTGGTCAGGGTCCCCCTCCAGGCCCCTTGCTGCTGAAGTCATCCCTTCATGATTCTGGGTTAGGAAAGCAGATCTCAGCTGTTCTCTGAGCACCACTGAGCACCACTGACCACTTACTGGACTTACAGGGAACCCAACTCAAATTTGGACCAAGAAGTTGCTGAGAATAAATATTTCTACCCCCAGGAAATAACAATGAATGGACGAGTCTGTCAGGTAGACTTCCTGCACAAATCAGCCTAGAGACTACAAAGAGCACTGTCTAATAGGCAGAGGAAATCAACCAGCACAGAGAACCTACCAGACTGAGACCAAGAAGCCCACAGAAGGCAAGGGAAAAGCGTGTCCCCAGAACTGTCTGGTTGTCTCTGACACTTTGTTTCTGCCCCTTTATGTGAAAATTTTTTACCCCCCTTTCATTTTATTTATATTATATTATTTTATTTTATTTTATTTCATGCAATGCTAGGGGTTGAACCTAGCACTAAGCTGTACCCTTAGCTTCCTCACTTACCCTTTCTCAAAACAAACTGTGCTGTCTCCTTCTTACAGGCTAAAGTGCCTGTGCACGTACTGTATAACCAGAGAGCACTTGAGTTCCATGAATGTTTACTGAGCCCCACCTATTAAATGCAGGCTCTGAACTAGAGATGATCAGGTTTCCCAAAGGGCCTAGGAGAACCCCCCCCCTCTCTCTCTCTCTGTCTCTCTCTCTCTCTCTGTCTCTCTCTGTCATGTTTAATTATCAAAATTTGGTCAGACATTGCAGTAACTCTGTAATTCACCTGTGTTATTTTAGGGAATTAACTTCTCTGAGTTTTATTTTGCCATCTTGAAAAATGTAGAAAATAACCTTAAGAGACCTCTTGCGAGAACCACAGAAGGTAAGGCACTCTGAAGTGCTTAGCATTGTGCTGGCACGTGAGTGGCTGATAGTTGTCAGTTTCTTTCGTTTCCTCCTGCTCTCTCTCCTTCCTCCTTTCAGCTCTTTTTATCAGTAAATTCACACCCGGTCTTAAATTCTC